GAGAGTGCTCAGGCAAGCTGGGCAGATGTTCCCAGGGATTGTTATGCTCTGTTTTCAGCATGTTTCTCTCTTTCTCAGGGGTCTTGATCAGGTTATAACTGATTACGTCCATGGGGAGGCATCGCCTATAGTGGCCAAAGGATTTCTGCATGTACTGTCTGCTCTAACCTTCTCAGGCCTCTGCTACTTCAACTATCATGACGTGGGTATCTGCAAGGCGGTGGCTATGCTGTGGAGCCTCTAACCTACCACCAAACTTCCAGCACAAAATGATTGTTCACTGCTGCCTTTGCTTCATCATCTAGTTATTAAAGCATTCAATGAGGGAGCAATTAATTTTTTTTAAAAGTGGCGGGGGTGGGAACAGGCAGTTAGTTAACCCCAAAAAGAGAGCTCAGTGGCACTTTGCTAGGAGAGAAGAATAGATTGAAGTGATCTGGATGCTGACAAAGCTTCAGGTGTAAATTGGGGTGAATTACTAGGGTTCACATCAGCAGTAATTCCATATGGCTGAAACCTGTTACCCATTAGAATAGCATCTTGGCTAAGTTTGTTGCAGCATGATTTTGCAAAGAAAATGTGCCTGTGGAAAGTTGAATCGTTGTTCCTGAGATTACATCAAGTGTGTGTGCAACGTGCCTCACGTAACTGAGCAGGCCCTGAGAGTTGGTGTAAAAAAGGGACACTTTTTTGTTGTTAATCCATTCAATAAAGAATTTACAGAAGACTGTGTCTGTCCATGATGCATTTTTTTCTCTCCCCAATCATTTTAAAGTATTCTCGCTGCTCCTGCTGTTGGTGTAACTGTTTGAAAACCAAAGCATAGACTCTGGTTTTCACTCTTACTTGATGTTTGTGAGTGCGCTGAGGAAATGCGGTGTTGAATGTCATCTAATTATAGGACGAAAGAGTGTTTTGATGTAGATTAAGTCTTAGGAGCCATAAGCAGTTTCCCATTATTTTGAAACTCAAACCATGTGTGCCATGATTTCTCATAAGTGAGAGAACCTGATCCACACCCAGCTCCCTGGCCCATTCTTTCCTAAGTATGTTCAAGGAGATTCCAGTGTGGTCTTTACTGATTCATCTTTCTATGTTTAAATTCATTGGCCAATGGATGCTTAGTCTCATCCCAAAATTCCTTCTTCCCCCTTTGGGAATTAGTTTGGTTGCGGTGCTTGATATTATTCTAACGTCATAAGCAGGGATCGGGGTTTTCTGCTCACCACAGGAAAACATCGATTTTTCTCATTCTAAGACCAGGAAGCCCCCAGTAGAAGGGCAGCAGGGTGGGGAGCCCACAGCTGCTGTGCTCCAGCTGTGCCACCCATGGAGGAGGGGGAGCTGGGTTCTCCTCCAGCTGCAGCAGCTGCTGCCCACAGGCTGCGGTCTCAGGCACTGCTTGTGGGGTGGGGGGAGTGGAGCCAGGGGGCTGCAGACCTGAGTTCCTGGCCCTGTAACCCTGTTAACTGAGGAACCCCTCTGGCAGGGGCTCCCTGTGGGGGCTGTGGGTGGGCAGTGGGGGGCACCAACGGGGCTGCGGGTGGGGAGTCAAGGGCACTGGCAGGCTGAGGGACTGGGTTGGGAGTCAGGGGCACTGGCATATCAGGGCTGCTCAGTGCAACAAAGCGGGGAGGGCACAGCTGCAGCTGGACCTGCATCCTGGTGAGTGAAGGGGGCAGGAGGAGCTCTAATTTTCCATGATAAAAAAACCCCCAAAATCAAACACCAAAATGTGTTGGTATTTAGAATTTATCTTATTATAGTGATTGAGGCACTGGTAGATTTCCAGAGTGCTTTAAAATTGTAAATATATCAATAAAACATTGAGTTCAACAGATACTTATATATAGTGGTGTTTCATTTGAATTGCAGAAAAACATGGATTTTGGAGGTTTTAATCAAAGACCTTGTGACTTTTTTTTTTTTAAACAGAGAAAACCAGGATCCCTGTAAGGTAAGAGGCTACGTGGTTGCTGTCTGATGCCAGCAGGATGTTTTGGTCAGCGCTACCATGCAGTGCATTTATTTAAGTTTGTCTGTTCAGTAAACCCATTTTGTCTCCCCCATCCCCAACCCCCGCTAAATCTTCTCCAATTCATTTGGCAGTATCAGGCAGTTACTGGTATGCACCCTTCCTTGGCCAGGACCTGCTTTGCATTATGATGGCGTTCTAATAATGCACTTTTTTTCTTTTTTTTTTAAGTGTAAAAGACCTTTGAGATGGCCGGTCTGTAGCCAACACCATCTTCTGTTATTTCTTCTATATTTAAAAATAAATGAATAAATCAGAAAGCTGAGCTATGGTAACCTGTTTCTGGGATGCATGAGTCTGGCAAATTACAGTCACTTCTCTTTTTAGAAGACTAAGAGGGGAAGTTATCTTCACCAACTTGCCCAGTTATATAGGTTGTTGAATAAAGGTTTCCAAGCCCCCATTAATGCAGGGCAGGCAGTGCTATGAATGGAGCACTTGAAGAAGAAAAGTTGTGCTTTGCTGCATTGGACGAACCAGCAAACACAGCAATTTTTTATATCAATCCCTGTTATATCAGCTTCCTGTTGTTTTGTTCAGTTTCTTGACTGAAAATTTATATTTGTGGTCTAAAAGGAGCAGATGTTGTCAGAATATCTGAGAAAAAGGACACACAGACCTGCGACACTTTGAATCACTCCTTTCACGTCAGAGTTGACTGTTCCTGCCTAGAAAAGTCTGGCCTCAGCTCTCTGTTCCTTTTATCGCTTCTTGTACAGTAAGAAGTGCTAGATCTGTACATGAGTCATCGGTAAACCCTTTTGCAATCTTTATCATTGGCCAGTAGAAACAATATGAATCTGCAGGACTTCCAAGACTTTTGGGAACAATGTCGGGGCGGGGGAACTTTTTCACAAAGAGGGTAGTAAAACTGAAACGGGTGGCCCAGAGAGGTGGTGGGGTCTCCATCCTGGGAGTTTTAAGCCCCGGTTAGACAAAGCCTTGGCTGGGATGATGTAGTTAGGGCTGGTCCTGCTTTGAGCAGGCGGTTGAGATAGATGTGACCTGAGGTCCCTTCCAGTCCTCATTTTCTATGATTCTCCCTCACCCTGTCAGTGTGAACCACTTGCCCTTTATGAAGTGTTTGTTGCCTTACCTCAGTAGCATAGATGTTACAATCCGGTTTGATCCCTCCTTTTAGAACAATTATCAAGCTTGCAGTGCTGGGCTTCCTAGTATTTACTGTATCTAAGCCAGCTGGGCCTGTACTGAGTCTCTCTGGATGCATCTATGTGAGTAGACTAATTCTACTGTGCATTAGTGTGACAGGCAAAACCCATGCTAATGCTCTAATATGCAGTATACTGGCTCCCACAAGGCAGCCTTACGGTTGTCTTATTCATCTGAGAGTGCAACGTGCATCTGCTTCCGCCTATGAACTGGTGTCGGAGGCTGAAGGCTTGCCTGGACTTGCCCAGACAGCAGCCTGCCAAGAAACCCCCTCAGTTCTAGTTCGTGAACAAAACTCTCAAGAAAGCAGTGGAACCTATTCATTTTGCTCTCAAAACCTGCCCCAACCCCAAGGAAAAATGGATTTTCCACACACCAGGCTGGGGTGGGGGGTAGTTAATGTTTAATCCTTTTTTTTTTTTATGTTTAAAAAAGCAGTCAAGAAATAGCTTATGTATGATAGAGCAGCATTTTTAGAGTGATTTTCAGTTACGTTTCGAAATGTATCTTCATGGTCTTGTCTACTTCATGTCCACTCACACAGCTCTTTAAAATCAGTTTAATTAAGATTTAGTGTACTACACACCTTAATGTCACAAAAGACCATTTTTGCTAATGCACAGTAGCACCAATTATGGTGCATTAAGTTTAGTCCCTGTCATTACAGGTTCTAAATTTAATGCACCATAATTACGGTGCATTAAGGAAGGTGTAGATCCTCCGTGTCATGGTTCTGGATTTTTAGGTCACGTTTCTAGGCTTAAATCTCCTTTCTGTGCCCTTCCTTAAGCCACAAGACACCACTGTATGGGTAGCTTTGGCTCTGGAGCACTGCCTTTTGGTTTAATGCTTGTGGGTCCAGTGTGATGGGTAAGCAGGGATGCACAAGCTCAGCAAAGTAGTTGTTCAGTCTCAAAAACTGCTTTTAAAAGTTGCCAGAAGTCGAGATCTTAGCAGAATACTACACAAGGCTCAAGAGCCTCAACTCCTTGAGTCTATGGTGTTGCAGGCAGAGTCCTTCCTGTTTTCATCCCTCAGGCAGTTACCTTCCCACTCCCCTTAAATAGCACCCCCTGACACCCCCCAGTCACATGCCTCGGTTTGCAAACTGCAGAGTTCCTGCCCGCCCTAGCGTGGTGTGTGGAAAATCCTGGAGTCACCAGGAACAATGGCCACAAGCTGAGGGAGGATAGGTTTAGGTTAGATATTAGGAAGAACTACTTCATGGTAAGGGTGGCCAGAGCCGGGAACAGGCTCCCCGGAGAGGTGGTGCTCTCACCTTCCCTGGAGATCTTCAAGAGGAGACTGGATAGGCACCTGGCTGGGGTCTTATGACCCCTGCCACCCCCAGTGCTCCTTCCTGCCCATGGCAGGGGGTTGGACTAGATGATCTGTCTAGGTCCCTTCCCACTCATGGATTCTATGATTTTTTCCTTGGGGTTGGGACAGGTTTTGAGAGCAAAATGAATGGGTTTCACTGCTTTCTTGAGAGTTTTGTTCACAAACTAGAACTGAGGGGGTTTCTTGGCAGGCTGCTGTCTGGGCAAGTCCAGGCAAGCCTTCAGCCTCCGACGCCAGGTCATAGGCGGAAGCAGATGCATGTTGCACTCTCAGATGAATAAAGACCGTAAGGCTGCCTCATGGGAGCCAGTAAAATCTGTGCTACCAGGAGGGATGAACGGCTGTTTTGCAAACAAATTAAAAAAAGAATCAATTTGACCAAAGGGAGAGTTTAATGCATTTTAAGAGAACTGCATTATTGAAGTTGCAAAAAAGTTAATGTTTAACACTTTTTTTTATGTTAAAAAAAAAGCCAAGAAATAGCTTATCTATGATACAGCAGTGTTTTTAGAGTGATTTTCAGTTTAGTTTAAGTTTCAAAATGTATCTTCATGGTCTCGTCTACTTCATCTCCACTCACACAGCTCTTTAAAATCAGTTTAATTAAGCCGTCCTCTTTTGCAAAGGCCAAGAAATATCCTGGCATCAGCCAAGATTCAAACTTGAATGACGTTCCGTCTCCCGGTGTAAACAGCTTTTGAATAAAAACCATGTCACTTTTTCCTTCGATGTCCTTGGGAGGCTCTCCCTCCTGAAACAGAGCAAGCACAAGGTCAGACTCATTACCTAGCTCTTGACTGGTTCAGGAACAATTCTTCATTGCAGCATGTTTGATGTCTTGGTTTTATTTATTTTGCCAGCTAAGGCAAATGCTGGGAACCAGTGGAGCTACTTACCCGGAATCGAACCATTCTTTTCCCACCGTCATCCATGCAGTACATACTGTAAGTCTTGCTACCTTCCTGGACACTGAATGCTACAGCCGGCCCAGTCTCAGGCACACCCGTGTCTGCATAATAGTGAATGGTGAATAGCATTCCACTCCCTAAACAGAAAGTGCTCCCGTTAGAAATTCGCTCAGGAAGGAGCCAGTTTCTGCAATTTAATTCCACCTGTGCTTTATTGCACCACAAGCACCCACTTTTTCTACTTGTTGGAAAGAGATGGGGCCTGTATTTGTTTTGTATCCTGTCCTGGGATGGCTGATGCAATTCATTTGGACTTCTCTGCTGGATGGAGCTAATGGTAAAGGACGTGTGCGTGTGAGAGAGAGATGTTGCTAAGTCACTTTAATTTGTTGTGCAAGCCTTCTAGTGCAGGTCCATAAGGTAGGGGTTACATTTGTTGCTAGTAATGAGCTCTGTAAACCTGAATGGGAATGAGCAAAGAAATGTTATTGCTATATGGTGTAAAGCAATGAACAGCTTTTAGTGCCTCAGTGTCTTGTTTAAACAAAAAAGGGACCTTGCAAATTGCACCCAGCACAACAGAGGGTAGGGGCCCGTCAGTGTGGCTTTGCAGCACCGTCCTAGCCCCCAGCTTCATTTCAGACTGTAGGACCTCATTCCTTTTGCATGCATGTGGATCTCGGTAACTTTTTGATGAGGAATTCCCTTGGTCTTCTGTCTCCCCTCAGGTACCATTTCTGATCTTTACTTCCCTCTGGGAAGCGAGTCTGTGCTTTCCTGGCTGACATGAAATGTGCAGCATCTTTGAGATGATGAAAGGCCTTTAGCTAATTGCATTTTTCTTCGAGTTGTTCAGAACAAGCTATGGCTTCTAGCAGTGGGAGTTATGTTTTTAGCCCTAAGAACTGCATAACATGCCCTTTAGATTCAGAATTCAGTGATACCACAAGGCAAAAGGTTGAGTGGAGTGAAAGTGTGAGTCGGTGATTAGAGAGAGAGGTGAGAATTTTCACATACCACGCTTCACCTCCTGATCTGCTGCAGATTCGAATACCCCTACATTTGAATCTGATCGCACCACAAGTATTTGACTGTTGATGTTTCGAAAGACTTGCTGACAGATGCACTGTTCTTTCCTCAGAGAGTCGCACTCTAGAACTTCTGTGGAAACATTAAATGGAAAGTCCCATTGCACTTGGTTTAGTTTTAGCTTTAAATGAGCAGATCAGCACATCTCCTGTATACAGAAGTGCTAGAAGTATAAATAGGAAGGCATGGTGCTGGAATAATATTCAAGCAAAACAGACTGTGCTATATCTCTTGGTATCCCGAGCAAGAGAAGTGGGGAGTCGTTCCTAAGCATCAGGTGTCTGGAGAGCCAGCATTTGCACAGTGGGAAGGGAAGCCGTTCTCCTATACATTGCCTTATTCCCCTCCTCATCCACTGCAATGTCAACTTTAAGGGGAGAAATTGGAGATGTTTATTCCCTTTCCCAAACCTGCTATTCTGGCATACCTTTCTCCAATCACAGGCACCCAGGCTTTGGAACAGGAGGCCACCCCCAAATCATTAAGCCCCTTCCCTGAACTGCTTTCTTTAACCCATTCAGCTGGGTTGGAGCAGTTATTTTGTTGCTGCTGGGTTTTTTTTCCTGATATCACCTCCCCTCCCATCGCAGGTTGTTCTAGGACCTGGTTTCTCTGATGGACAGAAACCCCCTTCTGACTTACACTTTAAACTGATTTACATCCATTTGTTCTTGTGTCCACATTGCCCTTGAGCTCTTCTCCCTTGCAGTGGACCTGCCCTCCCCATGTAGTTGCACTGAGCAATCCTGTCTGCTCTGTCATGCATTGAATGAACCAAGCTTTGCTGCTAGAGCAGCTCACCTGGCCCAGAGGGCCTCTATTTCACTTGGAGTTGCTTAACAGTGAGCTCTGCAAGATTGGACTTGTTCTTACACCTGCCATTAATTTGGGTGTGAAAGTCACTACCTATTGCTTCATGCTAAATTGGGTGGAATTAGTTGGTGGGTTTGGGGATGAAGGTTAGGTCTGTGTTAGTTAATCATATAACTAAATAAAGTAATAAGTGACAAGCAAATAATTAGCTTTACCTTCATAATCTTGGTTCCAAACAAGCAATGACAAGAAAGAAAAGGCTGTTACAAGCTGCTTCTAAATGGATCATTTTCTAGCCACTTTCAGTCAACGAGATGAACAGGCACCCTCTACTAGACCACTCCCCATGCCCCAACAATCCTCCTATTTGTGGAGAGGCTGTAAAAGCTACTGAAGTCCCATCAAGCAAGGAACTGTGCCTGTAGTAGTAGTCTAGCTTGAGGTTTAGGAGAAGACTGATGTGAAACTGGAGGATTAAAATAAACGCAGTCTTAAACTATTCAGTGTTCTAACAGATAAAATAAGTCTTGGTTGGTACAGCTGAAGCTCCAACAACTGGGCTCCACTAGCTTCTTGGTGACATTTCTAGGAGCACTGAGGAAACCCGGAACCCAGGCCTCCCCGGAAGCACACTTTGTTATTGCAGGACGTGGGAATTGCTCTGAAGGGTATAGGGAAGTAGAGCAGCTGGCTACAGTAGCAGGGAGGTCAGCTCAAGCAATGGAATCAATTGCTTGGCCAGTTTTGGTTTGTTGCACAGAAATTACAACACAGGTCCACACGTATAATAAAAGACAAATATTACCTTCAAAATAGAGTTCTAGATTTTCCCCAAAGCAGACTGCAGAGACAAGAGCCTCTTTGCAATTCATCTTCACTTTGCAATAAGCAAAGGAGTCCAGAGATGATGATGACCCGGCTCACCCTTCAGATGTAGTGAGCTAATGCTGGCCGGTTCTCTGCTTCCTGTTGTTATGCAGTGACGCTCCTGGGTGGAGAAATAGATTTGTGTGTTTTGCTATGGATCACTAAAACAGAGAGGTTTTTTACCGCCCCGGACACGGAGGGGCTCCTCTTAACGTCTTGTTTTTAACATCTTGCTTCATGTTAGCTCTGACAGCCTCAGGATTGTTAGAAAAGCTGAGTTTTATACTTTCCCAGTTTCAGTTACATCATTTAAAGATAAGAGGCACCTTCTATTTACAAGGAGATTGAAAACCTATCCCAAAATTAACATCGGTGGTAAGTTACCAGATATCCTAATGGACAGGTGGATCTCTTCCCTCAATCCAGAATTTTCTAATCAGCCAACTAGCAATGAGATACAGTTTTCTGTCCTTCACTTTCATTTAATCTGGACTGCTTCTGATGCTGATTCCAACTACATTAACATATGCCCAGAGTCAGGTTCTAATGAGAGCTCTGTTGATTCTCCTGTGTTGAGGCCTGAATCCAAAAATAAATATTTAACAGAACTTATTTTGCATTGACTTCACCAAATCCCTAACTCCATGAAAAAAATCTAGCCAGCAAATTATTCATCACATCTCTCTTCCCTTCTTTCCTACCTCAGCAGACTTCCTTTCCCTTTTGCAATCCTATTAAATGAGCTCCCTCAACCAAAAAAATTAGAGCTGGTACATCATTGCTGTACCCTTTGATTACAATAATTAGCCATTTTAAAAATGTTGAAGATGCAATAGCTTGCAAAAAAAAAAGTTGCCTAGAAAAATCAGCCCCCTAATTACTACTTCCCAAAAGGCCATGGGGCTAAGGTTGCCTTCTCTCCCCCAGGTGTTCGCTGTCTTTAAGCGAATTAAAAACAACCTGAAGATGGAAGAAAAGCAAGAATTAGCTTGTAGTTTTCTGACTCTTCTGTTGCCGAAGGAAAGCTACAGCATGCACTGTCTATGTTGAAGCACTCAATACTATACTGGTATGTAGCGTATCCACGTGGATACAAAGTTTTTCACACCTTATGTATTTTTCTTACACATCTATAATTGTCTACCAGGGTAGCTAAGCTTTCAACTTCTTCTAGCTGCAAACTGAAGTCTTGATGTTGCTGACAGCCATGGGATACAAGCTAGAGATATGTATGCCCTAGAGACCATGATTTGTGCCCTGTGCCTCAGCTCAAATACTAATGTGTTTATTAAATATTATTTTCTTTAGGAGCCACATCTAAGCTGCCCATACTCTACAGTACTAAAAAATGTGCTTGCAAGTAACTTTCCTTTCTGATAATCCCTGGTACTATCTATGATGGCCTAGAGCTCTGTTTTGTTTGCTGGAGAACACTGGTCATGCTGTAATGCGTATTTCGGAAAAAATGATTTGCAACAACCTGACTGAACTGAGGCTTCAGCTGGAAGAAATCTTCTCTGCTCTAGGGAAACTACAGCTGTGCACAGGCATAAAAAAGGACTTCTAGTGGAAGGCACTTGGGTAACTTGGTATAGAACTACAGTAGCTCCTAGAAAAGGAGTTGAGATGGGGCAAGTTGTATGACCGTGACTCAAAGGAATTAGGCTTGCTAGTTAGGTACATTTGCCTAGAGTGATGGTTTGCCCAGAGTGATGGTTTTATGGGGGTATGGATATGTATTCAATTATCCCTTTCTTTCACCCTTGTATGGCAGAGACTACTAATGCTTTCCCTTCCTGTTGCCCCAATTACAAATAGTTCAGTAAAGGTGCCCCCTTGAGTTATCATAAATTTTCAAGTTGCCCAGAAAATTATTCAGATTGATATGAGATTGCAGTTCACCTTGGGCTAGCTGTAGCTGAAGATGCTTTCAAGGCTTCCTGAACACATCACTTCCTCTTGAATTATTCATCTAGTATTTCTTTTTAAATCATTTTTTGCTCTGTTGTTGTGCTTTACTCTCCCTTGTCTCTTACAACCTCAGCATTCACATCTTAATATTTTTATTACCCTTAAACTGAGTCATAGTTTGAGACAGATAAACATGGGATATTGCTTAATTGTAGGCTTTCCTCAATAACTTGATGCTTTATTTATTTTTTATTTATGTTTTATTTTCCTTAGTCACATAATTGCTATACAGACAGTCTTGGGAGGTTTTTTAGCAGGGTAAATGAATCTAAATGGCTTTCAGAAGATCTGCTGTCACTCAGAGGGGCTAACTGTGGCAAAGGGCTAGCTGGGATAATGAGGTTTATTACACACCTAGCTGACAGTCTTAGAGGAACTGAGTAGGAAGAGACCTCAAGCATTCAGCTAATTCATCCTTCTTAAATGTCTGTGGGAACTTTGATGCCTGGCAAAGGTGTTCAGAAAACAGGCTAGCTGTCCTACAGCAAGGTAGTAGGCAATCTAAAATTATTTTCCTTCCATGCTGCTTTGAGTTTTACTTCAAGGTGCGGGGGGGGGGGGGG